GGGGGGGTTGGAAAAATAGAGGAAGTGTTGTTAAAAAGTATTAAAAAGTTAAAGAGTCATTGTGCAAAATTATTTTATTAAGAGAAATTGCTTAACAAACCCAAAGATTTTCAAAGATCAAATCCAATATAACAATAGATGGGATCAAATCTGATCTGAAAGGACTTTCCTAGTGAATATGTTGTCCGATATTTTACGGTTGTCAAATAGTTGAGTGAATTGACCAATCTGATAGAAAAAGAATCTATCAAAAGTTAAATACCGAGGGATGAATCACCATCCCAAACTACCCATTTGAAATTATGTATTTTCTGCACCCAAACTTCAATGAAGTACTACAAACAAGATCAAAGGTAAAGTTGCTCACTTCCCATTAGCAGTTTCTCCAGAAAGCATAACTGCATCAGCACCCTCTCTAACTGCAATTGCAATATCTGATACCTCTGCTCTGGTAGGTGTCGGATGAACTATCATGCTCTCAAGCATATTTGTTGCCACTATGACAGCTTTCCCCATACTACGACAGAGCCTGATTATTTCTTCCTACAATTCATGCTAAAATTGTTATCTTAATAGTAAAATGGATTACTATGTGGCTTCCATGTGGAAACATCCAAGTGCCCAAGTTTCCTCCAGCATGCATATTGAAATGTGAGGGGCCAAAAGATGAATGTTTCAAAAACCATCACAAAGCAATTACCTGCAATATAGGAACCTCTTCGATGGGCAACTCTGCACCAAGATCCCCTCTTGCAACCATAGCCTGAGACAAGAAAAACAATATAGCTTTATCTTGCAATGGAAGTCAATGGCCTCTGAATTAAAGGACAAAAGGTAATGATGACTCGAGAAACACATTCAGATATCAAACTCTTTTGGCTCCAATAAATTAACCTAATCCAACAAAATATAAACCCAGCATGCTGCTGTTTGCACAGTTTCTATTCCATGTGGCCAAATAGAAAACGAGGGGTGCCCTCACGTGTTTTTTTGTGCTTTTTTAACAAGATTATTCCACCATTTGGCAGATATAAAACCAATTCATACTACAATTTTTTACGAAATCCTAAATTACCATACAATTAACCATAGGAAACGACCCAAATGGAAGACTAATTTCTTCAAACTTATTTTGATTTCAGACCCAAATCAATATGAAAACAGGAACCTTATCTAGTAACAGTTTTCTTTCAACTCAAATATCCAAATAAATACTCCTATAATTACCCCATCTGATGCAGTTATGATTGAATGTAAATTTGGTATGGAATCTGCACTTTCAATTTTTACGATAACATGAATATCCGCCCCAGCATCTGCATGAAAAAGGATACACAACACTGTAAGTTAAATTTTTCCATACTTAATATCACAGCATACAAATGGACAGGTTGTAATACTTTTCAGATAATCCTTCAATTCGTGGACCACAGCCGCATCTTTGACAAAGGAAACAGCATAGAAGTCAACTTTGTTGTCAACTCCAAATTTGATGTCATCCCAGTCTTTCTCTGTTGCATGGAAGGACAAAACGTCGGGTTCAATTGCAAAACAAACATTCAAATACCCAGCAGTCAAAGGAAAAGTGATACATATGCATATGAAATGTCGATTTAGCATAAAAAGGATGGTAGTCATATTATAAAATATTGCTGAGTCTGACCAGTAATGGATGCAAGTGTAGCACTTTTTCCTCGAACATTTAGATGCCGTCGAGATTTAAGCTCTCCTCCATCAATGACCTCACATTTTACAGAATCTTCAGTCTTCGATTTCACCATTAACGACATCATACCACCTTTATTGCCAAGAAATAGTCAGTAATGGATTAGCAAGAAAAAGCAAAAAATCTCAAATCCCTGATATAAATTTTTCTACAAGTATTTCAAGCTTTGACGTTCATGAGTTCAAGTAATATGCACAACATTTGTTGCAATCAAGAAAGAAAAGGTGAAAAGATGGCACACATCATGAGATGGAAGGTTGAATAAATATATGTATGAGCGTTTACATATCAAAGCACAGACAGAAGATTCCTTAATTAGTGGTTTGATGGGAAAGTGGTAATAACTGCACCAGAAAGCTGTGAAATATTAAAAGTCCAATTTCCCAAATCTCCCAATACTCGGCCTAGCTGAAGTTATATAACCTCACCTATAAACACTTCGGTCATGTTACTAAAATGGAAGCTAGCAGAAACAAGCAAGCACGCATCTTGAATAATTTCTTGATCTCCAATTGAATTTATGACAAACAGTAGAAGAAAAGGAAATCTATAGCATACCATCCACAAGAAGCATGTCCCCCACTTCTACATCATTTACAAAATCATCGTAGTTGACGCTCACACAATCTGCAGTACCAACCCCTCTTCGAATTGTGAAAGTAAATTCCTGGCCGCTCATCAACATAATGGGTTGAGGTAAATCACCACTCCTTACCTCGGGACCCTGCCAATAGAAAATTTTAAAAATAATGGAAACATATTAGCAAATATTATTTAATTATTGTGCTTCGTGTCCTTGAAAATGCATGAATTCAATATTTTCTATATTATGCATCATCTGTTATTATATTCTGAGCCTTACGCTCAGAGATGAAGAAAGAAAGGGAAGCAAAAACCAACAGTTGTACAAATATTACCAGTAGACAAATCGTTGAGGCAGAAATAGATTTTTATGGATGCCATATACTCGTTAAATATGACATCATTCTAGCAATAAAAATCTTTTATTCAAAGAAATTTTTTCGCAACAATATATCATAAACAGTGACAAACTTGATTAATGAAGTTAGAAAGATGTTACTATATAGCCTGAAATGTCAAGCTGTGATCTATGAGCCAAAAGACAAGAAACTTGCCTTGGTGTCAAGCATGATGGCAATAACATTGTCTTTTGCTTGGGCATTATATTCCTTAACCAAGTCAATGACTTTCTGGTGAGATGCATGGTCTCCATGGGACATGTTCAGACGAGCGACATTCATCCCAGACTCTGCCAGTTTCCATATCATTTCCCTGGTATTGGTTGATGGACCAATCGTGCAAACAATCTTTGTCTTGCGTCTTACTGTAGGCTTAGACCATGTACCCACTGATGTGTCACCAAGTTCCTGAATTGTCTTTAAATACGGAATTTGCTCCTCTGCCTGGTCAAGAACAGTAATTAGAATGTTATTCATAAGAGAATGTAACTGTGCTAAATTTCTTACATTCAGTGCATTGTTCTTTCAATGATTAGAAGATCAATGGTGTGAATATGAACTAGTTCTAACCCAAGTCTATAGACAAAGTCAAGGTCCAGACACAACATTAAAACTATCCCAGCCTAAATCTGATTTAAAATTTTTGAACAGAAATACAAGTTATATTTATTCATGTGGACTTGATGCACTCGAAAAAAGGTTGGACAACATTTTCTTTCAAAATTGAATCCTTTAAATTTGCTCCAATTCCAAAGCCTCAGTTCCATCTCAAAATCAATCCTGAGTCTGTTTTAAATACTTTGTCCTATTATACATAGAGACAACTTCCATCTCAAAAGTTTACAGGCGATTAAATTTAGGAAAGTAAAATGGACAATTGGATCGACTAGAAATACGCAGTTCCCTGTATACACTATAGAAGAATAAGTATATCGAGCCGACAAGCCCGACAACTGGAAAATGCCAAAATAAATATTTCCAAGAGAAGAGAAAAAATGCAATCCATATTACATTATGATTTAAAGGAATGCAATGCACTTAATAATTAATGTAATAGCGATAAACAGGCATTATACTTGAAAGTTGGAAAATTAACGTTCATGATGCATAAAAACTCAATCTTTACTAGTAATTAACGAGCATTACATTTCATAAAAAATAAAAAGACTCTGTCTAAAAAGGAAAGGAAAAAAAAAAAAGAACCTTGGGAACATCTTCAGGGGTCACCGGCATAATTTCGGGCTCGACTCGTGCGGATCTCATGGCAATAATCGGCAAGCTAACATGGCCCACTCCACGGCTGCTCTTCTTCTCAGACTGAAACAAAACCTTCGAACCAAAGCCAGCCGTCGGCCTCAGCTTCTCAGCTTGGCTCTGAAGAGATCCAGAGCTAGGATTTGTCGCAAATGCACCGTGAATCATCCTCGTCGCCATTACTATGGCTACAAAAGGTTATACGAAGAGAAACTAGAGGATCTAGAGAGAGAATTGCAGAGAATGTAGAGTGAGAAGAGAGTATAAATTGAAAGAAAGATTGGTGAAATCGCCGATGGATTTGGAATTTAATGCAGAGAGGCCGCTCTTGTTTGTATCGAAATGTGAAGGAAAAGAGGCTATCTTTGTTCAAAACAGTTGGGGTTTTAGCCTCGAGGGAAGAGTATTTGGTTTATGGCGGGGGTGGGCTGGATGGATTGAACGGTGTCGTTTAGCTAGTCAATTGGAGAAGTAATTATTGGGTACTGACGTTCCACTGAGTTTACCGTGGGTAAGGTAATCGTGGAGCTGGCAATAGCCACGAGAGTCTCGTGCGCCACGCGGCAAAATGAACTCTCTCCATTCTCACGCGGTGGCCAAGTTTACGGGCAAAATGAACTCTCTCCATTCTCACGCGGTAGCCAAGTTTACGGCAAAACTATACAAATTATTTATGTATGTTAGTGGTTAATTCTATTCGTAGTACTTATACTTTACTTTGGTATCAATCCATAATTATACAATTATGATATATATCAATTAGGTAGTTGTACTTTTATTTTATTTCAATAAGTAAAATTATGTTTTCATTTAATTTCAAACAAGACACCTTCGTCCGAATAGAAGATTTGATAGTAAATTTACTACATTATAATTATCGCACATAACTTTTAGTTGTTGATGTGAAATATATATAAAGTAATGATGAGCTTCATTTACTGATTTCGAGTTCACTGATTTTCTCGGTCTAGGTGATGAAATTAGACGAAGTTGTCTAATTAAAATCAAATTAGAATATAAGTTGGCTATTTGCTTGCCAATTGCAATTTATCTCTTGTTTCGAGTTTCATTCTTTAAAATTCATTTTTTTTTCAAATTCATTTTCAACCACATATTCTCCTAATAAAATAATTTTACATATAAACCCAAATTTTTTTTTCTATTTTTTAACTACACATCTTTCATAAAATCTATTACAAAATCTATTGGTTGCCATTTCCTTACAACTGACCTTACTCAACCAGTTATTCTACGTTAATGTCTAAATACATCCAAAATCGTGGCTTTATTTGGTTTAGTGCTTGTTTGGTACATATTTTAAGTCAATTAAAATCAATATTTTTAACTGTTATTTTACTATTCTAGTCGTCATTTTTAATTCTTCTCTCACAAGTAGGACCAACTTTATCTCTAACGATAAAAAAAATCAATTATCAAAATCCCTACCAAACAAACTCTATAAGAAAAATCATATTTTTAGTAAATTTTGATAAAAATTGATGGAATATGTGATTGAAAAGTTGTGGTATCAATAAAACGTCTAATTAAAAGTAATTAATGACTTTGATTTAAATTTTAATTCAGATTTTTAGCTGAACAAATCAGGGGCCATGTCTGATAATGACAAAGGTCAAAGATGTATCAGATTTGAGGGGTAACAGAGATGGATGTGGCCTTTAATGCTTCTAAGCATTTCAGTATTAATCTATTGTCTTGAGGTTTTATATTGCTCCAATCACTCGTGCTCTGTGGATTTCAGGCTTCTAGGATAATGAATTTAGGATTTCAAACTTTTGTGAATGATACTAACACTTCTTTCTTCTCCAGGGATGATTTTGCTCAATCCAATCAGATGGAAACTGAAGAAATCGACATATTCGAGACCCTCTATGAGAGTTTTTAAAAAATACTTGTGTGTTGAAATTTTTATAATTGGGTGATGGTCACACCTCGAACCCCAAATTCTGATAACATTTTCATGTCTTTAGATGAAATAGTTCAATAATTGCATGAGGTCCAACTGCCATTGACATAATAAAATTTACATTCACCTGCATGAGACTAAATATATGGAGTCAAAATCAAATCAAATCAAATTTCCTTCTCTCAGGACAGCTACTTAGAACATGAAAAAATACAAATAAAAATACAAATTTTCTAATCTCAAATCTTTTTCCTAATTGGCAAATTATCTTGGTGACATTGTTGAATAACTACATGTTGCAAGAGATGATGGATGAGTGGTGATGGTGAAGGAGCTGAATTGATTGAAATCTCTCTTCATGGCTTTGTAGACATGGTCTAGGCCTTCTTCAATTAACTCGAGAACCGTCTGTGGCATCGATGGCATATTAATGTCAAACGATCCTTCTAACATCTTCACGACATCTCCCATTGTTGGCCTCATGGAAATCTCGTCTTGAATGCACCAAAAGGCAGTTTTTAAAGCTCTTATGAGTTCTTCTTCGTTGACTGCTCCTTCGAGACGTCTATCTGCAGCTTTTGTTGGTGCTCCATTTGCCAACTCCTAAAGATACAAACATTCATGTGATCATTTGCAGAAAACTTTATCATAATATATAACACACTTGTCCCCTAGAACTCGAATATTTTCAATTAATGGATATAAAGGCATTCTACATGCATTAGTTTCGCCTAATATTCGTACACATATGAAGAATTACTTAGGCGATACGCAAATTCAGAGGCCTAAAATTACCATTGTAATCTTTTTTTTTTTCTTCTTCACGTTGGAAACTCGCAGTGTGAGTGGACTCCAACTCTCAAATTGAGAATATAACACTGTAAATTTGTGGGTATTCTCGTGTGTGTTTCTGATTACATGTTGCTTAATATTGCTCCCATAATTAGGATTAAGGCTTAATTTCCAACAAAGATACTTAACTTTAAGTTCTAAACTACGTCAATTTTGTGCAATAAGTTTAGGGGGAATTAATCGACAATACCTTGAATGCCCATCCAGGATAAAAAAAGCTCTCTGCATCATATGTCATATCTAGATTTCTCCGGCCACCAATTATCTCAAGAAGAAGCATCCCATAGCTGTAAACATCAGCTTTTACTGTAATCGGGCGGTTGCTGACCCATTCTGGGGCTAAGTAACCTCTCGTCCCTCGTACCATTGTCACAACATGAGAGTGCTCTCGTCCCATCATTTTAGCTAGTCCAAAATCTGATACTTTTGGGCAGAAATTCTCGTCCAAAAGAATATTTTCCGGTTTGATGTCACAATGTATAATCCTGTCACGACATTGCTCGTGAAAATATGCTATCCCTTGTGCTGTGCCAAGAGCAACAAGGAAACGGGTTGGCCAATCCAGTAGTCTTTCTCGAGAATTATGTGAAGGAAATATCCATTTGTCCAACGACCCATTCTTCATGAACTCATAAACGAGGAGCCTGTTGATGATCACATATAAATAAACGTTAAAATATATCTATGTACTGAATGTATAGAGATTATGTTAAGGAATAGTTAATGCTCGTGCTTAGCATATTCCGACATATGACTTCAAAACAACATAACAAGTCATAAGGACATATCAATGGAAGTGAAAATTTATAATACTATAGCAGGATAGAAAGCTACCGTTGTGAGCCCTCTGAACAGTATCCACATAGCCGAACCAAGTTCAGGTGATGCATTGAGCCAATTGTGTTCACCTCAGTAATAAATTCCTTCTCCCCATGGGGTAAAATCCTGTCAAGTTTCTTTACTGCAATTAAGGTTGCATCACCTAGGCTTCCTTTGTATACACTGCCAAATCCACCTGCAAAAGAACACCATATTATTTGTATTAGTTTCAAGTTTTGATTGCTTTAGTAAGTGTCCTCAGTCATCTCTTTCGTTTTAATTCATCTTTACATTTATTACCTGTTCCTAATATGTGGGAAAAGTTACTAGTCCTATACTGTAAATCCCGGTAGCTGAAACTAATTGGAGCTCCTGATATAATTAAGGAATTCTCAAGGGTTCTTTTCAAGGATCTCCTTTTGTGAACATAGATATATAATAAGCAGCAGAGGAGGCCTATCAGAAATAACATGCTTAAAACAATAGGAACCACCAAAACCTTTTTCCGTTCAATCACTGATCTTGTATCATCCTTCATAGTCGAAGAGCCATTCGATTCTACCTTCACAAATAAAGTTGAGCCCGCATCCTCGTACCCTCCATACTCTAAACTCCTCAAAACCCAGCAATATGCCTCTTCCTCATTAAGGCCATAGATTGAAGCGACACATTCGCAGTCTGATAAGCAGGCATCCCCGCATTTAGACACAGTCTCTATATCGCTATAATTCGCAATTACCGATGATTCTGCAAAGTAGTAATTGGTTTGTTGAATTGCTTCAATCTTAAACTGGGATGTTAAATTTTCATGATGTTGACCACATTTCCCAGACACAGATGAATTTCCCAAGCACTCGCCATCATTTCCACGCTTTGATGTTCCCGGCAAGCACGTGCAAGATGCATTGGTCTTGCTTCGATCGAGATTGCATATCCCATTTCCGCAAATACCAGCAATATCACACGGTTTAGAAACAGCTGCCCACTCGGGAACCCACTGGCGTGATCCATTAACATCATTGTCCCATCTATACAAACGTAAATTTCCATTAGCCTCAAGGGCTAACCTTCGAAGAACTGATGGCCGTCCTGATTGACTTGTTGCCGAGGATAATCCTCCGTTATCATTATCATTCTTGTACACGTACACCTCTCCATCCAATGAAGAGCTATAAATAATTCCGAAACTTCCTTCTTCATCCAAAACTGCTATAACATCCCCAGTAAAGTTTGATATCTCAGGTCCCGACCAGTAGGATAAGTTCGTATAAGAATCAGGTGATGTATTGTAGGACTCTGGCAAATTGTAGGTCAGTGCAAGACTTAGTGAAGTGCGCTGCTGTAACATTTTCAGTGCATAGTAACCACCATGTGAAGGCGGTTCCGAAGATTTGAGCTCCAGAGAAACTGTCAAAGGTTGTCCGGGTAGGAGAGTATCTGATGGATGCGAAAAGCTTTCCCATGCAATGCGTTGATCAGTGCCATATAGAATAAAGTTGCCGTTTTCCGACATGACAGCTGTTTCTACACCTGAGTTCGACGTATTTGATGTCCAGACAGTTGTGTCTCTATCAACAAGCACGAGACTTCCGCTGGTTTCGAACTCCAAGATTGCATTTTTGCTGACTGGAGAATTTCTATTTAGATGATTGAGAGAAAATGAATGGTGGGCCAAAAAATATATATACACCTGCAAAAGCTTTAGTAAAGACTAGAGGAATCCAATATGCTTTCGTCTAATTCTAAATCCGGAATCCATCAATACTACTAGCTTGCGTAAGTAGATGTTGATTTTGAGTTTCCTTTTTTCTCACTTTTCAGCTAGAAAGTTACTTTTTTTAAAGTAACTCTTACTATAATGTCATAATAACTTACACAGTACATTTTAACTATTACAAAAACAATTTTCACGTTATTAAATCTTCAAATTTCCAATAAAAGTAAACTATTTGCGAGTAAAATAGATACATGTGCAAAAAAAAAAATCGATTATGGTAAATTCAATTATTTGAACATGTATAACTTTTACAAGTAAATGCATCATTTGCGCATAATACACATGATAAGAAAAGATTAATGAAATGAATTAACGGTGACCTCTGAAGCATATCTTCACATTCTCAGCCCCAATTTGGTGGGGGATTAAATTCAAATTTTAATCAGATTTTGATAAAAATTGATAAAATATGTGATTGAAAAGTTGTGTCCCCATGAAATATGTGGTTAAATTTAACCGTTGACTTTGACTTAAATTAAAATCTCCCTACCAAACAAAAACTTAATTCATTCAGGTCTTTGCCTTGATATATAAATTAAATAGAGGATTAACAAACTAACTAAACTGAGCATGTCTTGTTAAGCTAAGAAATGTTTACTTATAAGCAAATAAGCAAGCTTTAAACAAGATAATTTACCATTGGTCAAGAAATAAGAATTTCCAAACATGGCATTCTTAACAATAAGCAAGAACTCACTTTTAACTTACTTTTAAGAGTTACAAGCTCAGAAATGCTAGTAATCATTAACCTACGTAAAATAAAACATGAACAGCTGTTTAATCTTGCAATTATAAGAAACAAATATATAATCAGAAGCATTAAACGTACATCTCAGCCGACCAGACAAGGGTTCGATCTCCGGGAAGTTGAACAAACCATATTCCCAATTGAAATTGATCAGATTTTGCATCAATAGGGCTGAAGCCAAATGCAAATGTTCCATTATCAGAAACCCATGCTTCGTTATTCTCACTAGCCAACAACCTCGAACCCAATCGAATTCTTCCGGCCAAGGAGGAACCAAAAATTTCTGAAAAAATAAGGAAAAACAATGCCCAAACGGAGTATAGAACAAAACCCATTGTGAATATGTCATTTGGGATGAGGGTTGATGGCTTATTTATGTGAAATCGAAAGGGGTTGGATTCAAGAAATTGAAAAGGAAGGAGAGTTGTGTGGAGATTAAAGGCGGGTTTAAGCCAACACGTGTATCAGTGGGTGAGCTACAATGTTGAAAAAAATCGAAACCCATGCAGTGGTCGGCTGCAAGAGATTAATGCATTGATGGCACATGTTTGTACAAAATTCAACAAATCTTTTGGCCCAAAAATGTCTGATTCAATCATTGTTCTAATTTTCACACTAGAATTTGGGTTACTTCTCTACTCCGAATTTTAGGGCTGTTAGAACGCCGCCAGTCTGCTTCTTCCTTGAGGATTTGCACCATAGAACAAAAATAATACTATTCTCTGCCACACACTAATGGATTCATGAGACATATAGATGACATGCGATTATTTGATATATAAATTAATAAAAAATTATTATATTAATATATCGAACAATCACTTGTTATGTATATGTCACATAGAAGAACTATTATGGTGACGGGCTTTGAATAGCATTACTCATAGAACAAAGATGAAATTCCGTAATTTGTCCTTAAAAATTATTGGTCTAGTAATAACTTGGACTCAAAACTTTTTGTTGAAAATCGGTCCATAATGCTAAAAATCTTTGCTAAATTGTATAACTGGAGTGCTTAAATCAAGGTTCTAAAATGCGTAATGCATAACAGCATCAAAGAAACACGTGCATAATTATATGTTTTTATTTTTTTAATTTTTAATATTATTTTAAATATTCAAAACTAATAAATAAATAAAATAATGCATTTTTTGAATTTTATATATATATATATATATATATATATATATATATATAGACACGCTTAGTAACTCTTTATCGATTAAAACTTTTCTTCTTCTTTCAAGTCATATTTCGTGTCATAAGATACTTGAGAATTTTAATTACTTCTTGTAAACAATAAAATACAATTGTTAACCTTTCCTTATTAGCAAAACCATCAACAATTTAAGTATGTGCATTACTAGCATCACTTGCTAAACTAGAGGAAGATCAAAGAAGGCGGCTTGGGCTCAGCATAGATAATGTACAACTCTACGAAAAAATATGTTTTATTTTTCGTTTTTCTAAATGTCTAAAACCTACGGATTGATGTAAATAATTCATTGACTTAGGTGATTTAAGCTAATTTGATGTTTTTTAAGCTTCATTTACATTTTTTAAAGCTATAAAAGTGGGTTGAGATTTGCAAGGTTAATTTTGACACAATTTTTAACATAAATGCGTACGTATTTTGGAGTTAAAGCATGCATATGCTGTCAACGAAATGAGTTGGCTATATTATCACACGCATACCCCATATACGAGGAGTTTCGAAAAAGTCCCGAACATATGCGCGCATTTTAAAATATTGGTTTAAAGATGCTTACATTTTTTAGGTATCGGTCTAAATTGAGATACAAAATCTACCTCTGTTTGGCCCCCATTCTTTCTAAATTTTAATGGTTGAAATAGTGCTTTTTTGAAAAATGTGTAGTTGAAAAAGAATGAAAAGTTTTTTATTTGCGTGTAATATTATTTTATGAAAGATTGTATGATTGAACGTAAAAGAGAGAAAAAGAATGAGAAGGAGAATGGGGGCCAAACGGGAGCCTAATTTCATGAAATTGAACGTTTGAGAGACACGTGATGAATATATTGTATACTTCTAACAAAAGATTTGGGATGATTAGCAAAAAAATATTCCTATCGTTTGTACTCATTGCGAAAATAATCCCTATTGTTTTGAACTTGCTATTTACATCTTCATTTCAAACCTCTTTTACAAAATTGGTCTTTTTTGTCATATTCCGTTAAATAAGTGTAATTTGATGTAAAAGGTTCCTAATGTTTGCTGTAATTGCGCAAATAGTTCCTATCATTTCAATTTTGACATTTGAATATTTAGATCGACATTTATTTGTTTAAAAGGTCTCTGCGTCCATTTTTCTATTATAACATTATGAAATAACTAATTTATCATTATCTTTCAATAAATAAATAGAAAAAATAAATAATATAAAAAAATTGTATCTATTGTTTCTAATATTTTTTAAAAATTACAAACAAATCTCACATATAAAAATTTAAAACATTCTAATAGAAAAATATTTTATATTCCCAAATAACCCACCTACCCCTACCCCTACCCGTACACCTATCCTCCACCACCAAAATAAAAAGAGAATTAAAAGTATAAAAAAATATTTGATAAGGAATAACCACCATTTTGTTTTTATAATTTTTATTTTCTAATTTTAATTCTTTTTTTAACTTTTATTATAGTGTTAATTATCTCTTTAATTAATTTTATGGTGGTGATGGAGTATAGGGGATGGGCATTGGGTATGTGGGTTAATTGGGAAGATGAATTTTTTTTGTTTATTAGAATGTTTCAATTATTTTCTTGAGACTCGTTTGTACTTGAAAAAAAAATAGAATTTTTAAATATAATTTGTTTATATTATTTCTATTTTCTATTTGGTTCTTTAAATATGATGATAAATTAGTCATTTCATAATGTTATAATGGAAAAAATGGATACAAGAACATTTTAAGCAAAGAAATATCAATCTGAATATCCAAATGCCAAAATTGAAATGATATGGACTATTTGCGTAATTACATCAAACAATAGGGACCTTTTACATCAAATTACACATATTTAATGGATAGATTTAACGGAATATGACGGAAAGGACCAATTCTGCAAGAAAGGTTTGAAATGAGGGTGTAAATAGCAGGTTCAAAACGATAGAGACCATTTTCGAAATGAGTACAAACGATAGGGACGTTTTTTGATAATTACCCAAAGATTTGAAGTTAATTGCACCTTTTAAATATTAAAGACTAACTTATAGAAGTAATGAGATTAGCAAGTTAGCGTCCAATCAAGTATTTTAATTTTTTTAACAATTATTTGGTTAACAGATTTCTATAGTAGATCGTGTTAAAACTAACATGATATATCATGGTTGTTAAAAATTTAATTGATTTAGGTCTGTAATAGATCCAACTATGAATTAAATGACACAAAATTTAATTGCATTTTTAGATCTTTTAAAATAGTTCAACAGTTTAAAAAAAAAAAAAAAAGGAGAATTTACAGTCTGAATAAAATATTTAATATTATTGAATTCTTGTGACATACTACTAAGTGCAAAAATTCGTTTTATTGATTATTAAAGGGCTCGAGTCGAAAAATATAGTGTAATTAATCATCTTTCTTAATTAAATTTTTTTATGCTAGTAAAAGTAAGTCAATTGTTATTGAGTATCTAGAACTTGATACGATTCACTGAAACATTTCACTTGGATAATTTATTTTTAATGCTCAATCATACTCATTATTTTATCTTTTGTCTTTGGGTAGGTCCAATATTGTCAAACTCTCGATATTGAATACAGTATATTACATGTTAAAACTATATTTTTTTGCGAGTCAAGCACTTTAATTTTTAACAAAGACGTTTAGAGTTGAATAATAATATAGAATATCGTTTTTTTTTTCTTAAGGGCATCTACAAATTTTGTTAACGCGCAAGAAATCCTTGTTAACAGTCAAGAAAAAAGTAACATTAAATTGTTGAATATAAGCACCAACAATATTAAAGTGGGGACCAAGATTTGAAATCTATACACAACTTCAATGATTGATCTAGAATTATGTCAAAATTGTCCACCTATTCAGTAAGAAATCTATATTTTGACGTCATTACTTGGATTATCTTAGTATTTACTTAAAATAGCTTAAAAAATCATTAAAAAAGTTCGATTGCAAGGTAAATAATTAATTTTAGTCACATATTTCATGAAACTCATCGTTACATATTTCATTAACTTTTATTAAAATTTGTTGAAATTTTTATCAAAAATTTTGTCAAACAACCCTTATTTTCTTCTTGATTTGAAGGAAGGAACAAATATGGATCTTTACTACACAATCGTAAAAGTCTAAAATTGACTCATCTTATTTTTGTTTTCAATCAAACTTGCATAGGGGTACTCTCTTTCTCGGCTCCAAAATTCGGTTATAGCAATTAGTTTTGTTAGTGCTTGGATAAAGCTACTTTAAGTCGATTAATAAATGTGGCAAAAAAAAAAAAATTCACTTATTGAAGAATTGAAACAGAAGGCGTGATCGGTTGAGGACACGGTAGACGAGTCAAAAGGAAGGAAAGGTCTTGATTTCATGTTGGAGTCATATAACATGAAAATGTATACTACTCTTGAGTTTCAGAAGCGAGATCCTAAATAAAGTTAATTAAGCGTCGAATAGTTGTAAACTTAAAAACAAAATATGGAAAAGAGGGAATTGGCTAAAAATAGATTGTCAACGAAGTATGAAAGAGAGATAACTAATTACACCATTAAAAACAACTTATTTATTTCAATTTTTATTGTAAACTAAAATTTGATGCGCTCAAGAGGGTATCATTACTCGTAATTAGCATAGTCAGCTCGTATTGATTATTTTTCATTTTGTTATATGTATGTATGTATGTATTAAAAATAACTCTTATTTTATCCTTAAAATAAGTAAATTTATATATTTTTAAGAGACCATACCTTATATAGAACCCTAGTATCATTTCTCCAGTATTAGCTAGCCTTTATTTTGAACATATAACGAGGTTGGATTATTAGAAATTAAATATCAGATAAAATTAGACGATATAATGGATGAATATTAATTTTTTTTCCTTTAATATTGTTCAAGACCAAAGGATTTGCCCTACTAACAAAGTCATATAAGGGTATATTTTGTATGTAATTCTCAACAAGGATTCAAGATGATGTAAAGAGGTATGCAAAGAAAAATTGTCAATTCTTTTCCTAGCTAAGGCAACTGATTTTAGGAAGGAATATTCACCAAAATATTCAGGCATATTCAGTATATTTAATTGAATATCATAACCAACAAACAATTTACGTGTTTCTTTCCTTGATTTTATTTAGTATTGTTTAATTCAATTATCAAACATGTCTTCTCTTCCAATTGTCATCCCTTTAGTAATAAGAGGAAAGTGGCATTATAATGCAAATGAGGAGATCAAACTACAAAAGAAATGGTAGACTAAAGGTAAACTTGACTTCTTCTTCTTGTCAGAACAATGAACCAAATGGAGTATCGGTAAAAAAAATTCACCCAGTCGACCACAAATTCACACAATTCTTTTTTTAAATTGGCAACGAGTATTGGACAATAGTGCACATTCCAACCAATAATATTTCTTAACTAATTTTTCTTTCTTAATTCCGTCCACCAATGTCGTCCAACATACGTCTGAGACATGTCATTTGTCTTTTGAGTGAACCGATAGGTATC